AGCAGGGAGCCTGATACGGGACTCCATCCCAGGACCCCGGGATCATGACCTGAGCCGAAGGCAGACGCTTAAGCGACTGAGCCACCCAGGCGTCCCGAGGAGTTTGACATTTAATAATTAAAGTCCAAAACGAAACTCTAAAATAGCATATGAACTCAAATTACCAAGGCCTGTTGCCTGTGTCCCCCCATCATTCTGTGTGTGGTGTTGACATTTCCTCGTAGAGAACCGCATTTGGATCCCACTGTGACGCAGAGCCGCATGCCCTAACAAAATACATTTGGTTCATTGGCTCACCAAATTTTCCTTATGACTTTCCTTCCTAATTCATTTAGCAAATTTTTATTGAATACCTACTATGTGCTGGGGTGCCGTGCTGCTCTGGACATTGAGTAGTGAACCAGATAGACATTGGTCCCTTATTCATCTTTTATATTCTATTGAGGAGAGATCACTAAAACAAAATTTCTTAGTTGGAATTTGGTGATTGTCTCAAAGCCTCTACCCAGTTTTTCTGACCCTTCTGACTCCCTCTCTGTCTTTCTGAGAATGCTCAAGGCTACCCAAGATGCACCAGAAACTGTCTTGTGCCTCATTGCCACTTGGGTCTCTCCTTTTCAAGTCAGGGCTCCACAGGAACGGAAACTTTATATTGCTTCTCAAGTTCAAAGTGCTCTTACCAACCCCATCTCATGTAATCCTCAACAACAAAATACAGAATGGCCTCCATTTTACTGGTGAGAAAAACTACTGAATCTCCTAAAAATGGATGGATTTATTTAGATTTGAGCCCAGGTCTCCTGAATTCAGATCCTGTGCTCTTTTTGGCTCACTTAGTAGTTTTGAAACCATGCTTCTCAAAGCCCTTCGAGTCTTCTGAAGAAGTCTTCTGAGAAAGCCTGAGTGGATGGAGCCCTTCCTTGTCCCCCTACTTCAGCCGAAGCAGTCCACTTTCATCCGTTTTTCATTTTAGGCTTTCCTTCAATATTTAGTCTGAAGATTCCTTAAGAAAAAGTTCAAACAGCACTCAACTTCACCAATCCACTGCTACAACCATCTATCAGTGGGGGATCACTAGGTCACATCCTTGAGTCTAGCCAGAACCCAGGACCTCTTAGGCATAGTCATGGTCATTGCACAACTAAGCAATAGTGAGGCAGGATATAACACAGTGGTTCCGAATCCCCACTCTGGAGCCAGAACACCTGGGCTACTACTCACCACGAACTATGAGCCTTTGGGCAAGTCAACCTCTCTGTATCTAAATTTCTTCAACGGAGGTAATAATAGGTCTTCAAAAGACTATTGTGAATGGGCGCCTGGGTGGCTCAGTCAGTTGAATGCCGGACTCTTTCGACTCAGGTCATGGTCTCAGGGTTGTGAGATCAAGCCCCACAGTGGGCCCCCTACTGGGCGTGGAGCCTGCTTAAGATTCTCTCACTCCTCCTCCTCCTGCACATGAACACCCCCTCTCTCTCTTTCTCAAAAAAAAAAAAAAAGACTATTGTGAAAATTAAATGAATTAACATATGTTTCAGAAAAAAAAACCCAAAAGCTTGGAAGTCCTCAGCACAATTACCAGTGCACGGACCCCATAGCATGCCTCCTTCTCACTTCCAACAGAAAGCAGTACACTGTTAAGTTTAGATTGTTTTGTTAAAAGCAAATTGCTGAATTTCAGTTCCATTCAATAGACAGGAAATAAAGTCAGTTTGTCTCATGGAAAAGGATGAGTCTTATAAATCTGACTTCTTTATTTTTAGGCATGTATGGGAAATTATTACCGACAGGAAAATGAGGCTGAATCCAGTAAAATTCCACAGGTTTCCTTATACTCCAAACAAAAACTGATGACTTAGGTATAAAGTAACTTTTGCATACCTCTAACAGGGTGACAAAAACAGTACATAGATGCTGCTCGCAAAAGGGTTGTATTCCCAAACCAAAAGTTGTAATGAACCCAATCGGCTCCCACTGAGGCAACCTAACAGAAGATGAAGCTGATCCTGAAAGTGTACTTAGGGCCACCCTGAGCCCCATAGGCGGCTTTGGTATCTCTGAACCAAGAGGGATGGAGCGCATCGAGCGGGTGGGATGAAAGGCAGCTTGGGAAGGGGTGGGAGCTCCCAGCAGGTTTCACAGCAGGGAGGGAGACCTGCTATAGCAGAACAGAAGGGCTTTGTAGACAAAAAAAAGGCAAGCAGCAGTGATCCGTATATAGCTGATTCACCTTAAGTACCTGTCATCTCCTTCCTGTACAACCTCAGGTTACAGACCTCTCTAACTCAATGAAATACAAGAGGTCTTGCCCTTTAAAAAATACTTGTAGGGGCGCCTGGGTGGCTCAGTCCGTTAAGCGTCTGCCTTCGGCTCAGGTCATGATCCCAGGGTCCTGGGATCGAGTTCCACATTGGGCTCCTTGTTCAGCGGGGAGTCTGCTTCTCCCTCTCCCTCTGCCCCTACTCATGCTTGCTCTCATTCCCTCTCTCTCAAATAAATAAAAATTTTTTTAAATCTAAAAAAAAATACTTATAAATTTGTTATTTGGAACTCTGGGCGTTTTTCATTGGAATAATGTTCTAAATGATGGTTAGT